AGGTCTCTTCCGCGAGTCAGAGCAGAAGAGACTGTTTCCAACCCTTTGCCTCAGAGCTGAGAGACCGCAGTCTGTTCTTCAGTGAGCTCTCCAGGCCACACTCTCTCTGTTTCTGTCCGTGCTGCTATAAACTGCAGCGTCCTGGGTTGTTCGCCCCTCTGCAGCGCTCCCAGTCCTGCCTCCAGGTCGGGGCTCGTCTCTGCCCTTTGTGCTTCTAAAACCGCCAGCCGCTCCCAATTTGCGCGCACGCAACTCCGCCTCTTGGGGTTTCCACCCCCGGGGGTTGCAGTTTACCGGCTGGACCCGGCGCACCGAGTTTCTGACTCGGAGGTTGCAGTTCGCGTGCACACGACTGTCGCTCCGGTTTCTGTGGGGGGGGGGGAGCTGCAGTTCGCATGCGCACAACCCCGCCGGTCTGGTTTTCCACCCTGGGGGCTGCCCTAAAGTTCTTTCCCGATGCTACCGGTCTGCGAGTCTGTGCCCCGTCCTAAGCGTGTGAGGCTGTCACTCACCGGCGGTGTAGGATCCCCACGTCCAGGCACCCTCCCGCCTCCATTTATCCTCTGATATCTGCCCGCAGAATCACGGCTCTCCACTTCGTACCTCAAAACCAACTGCCTGCAATATTCTGTTTGTAGAGATCCAGATCTTCTTACATCTCAGGCTGGTTGCACATGTGCTCAGAGTGGTCTGGTAGTTATCCAGCTCAATTCCAGGACCAGTTGAAATAGGGTCCCCTACTCCTCCGCCATCTTTCCCCTCCTCCTAAAGTAGAAAATCTTACAGAAGACATGATCAGTACAGGTGTGGCCTATGGGCATCCTGGGGGAAGAACTGGTATTCAAAGAAGATAGTGGCATGAATCATGGATCACTACATCAAAAACTAATGATGTCTTGTATGGTAACTAACATAATAAAATAAAATAAAATATAAAATAAAATAAAAACAAGATAGTGGCAATTTAGCTGAACACCAAAGATGCAGGAGAGGTCATGGGACCCTGTCATTACAACATAGCATACATTTTAAGGGTTTACCCTTTTGTAATCTGACTCTTTCACACTGAATAGACTCCCCTTAGCAAGAAAACCAAAGGTCCAGTTTCTCATTTTTTTCTGCTCCCCTACTCTGTCTTCCTTTGTCCACCAAGGAGGTCGGCCCAGCAGCAGCTCAGTCCGTATGTACTCACCACCCATAGGCACACTCCCACGCCATGTCCACATCCAGCAAAGCTCCCTGGCTAGTTGCTCAGCACCGGGGCCCTGACAGTTCCTATGTCTCCTCCTACCTCCCACTGAGGGCCTGCTCGAAGAGCTTCCTAGCTGGAGTGTAGAAGAAGAAGCCCCAACCCTCTCCGAGGTAAACTCTTTTTGTCTAAGAGAGACATATTTTTTTCTTCTTCAATAGAACTAAGCTATCAAATTCTGAGCCTGGACATCTCAGATGATATATCTCATTATGTCAGTGTGGAGAGTTTCAAGTGAGAGTGTGTTACCCACTGATACCTGATACAATAGGGTATTTTATGAATGACAACATCGGCTACAAACTGTATGGTAGTGAGCATTTTCCTCAGCAAAAATGTTTGTCCTTGAGAGTGAATTTTTGGTTTCCTGATCAAAATGGACTTGCAAGATCTTGTATGAAATGCTCAAGCTTTGTCCATGTCCACTGTGTTTTGTTCTAGGGCCATTGACTTAACCCCTGGTTCCCATTTGGTTTCCTAAAGAGAACAAAACACCTGTATAAACACTGTATAGTGTGATGCATTCGTCATACTGTTTTCGTTCCTCTAATTGCAGGTGGATGCAGAAGGGAAAAAAAAGGTCCCCTATTTTATAAAAATCTACTTTCGTAGTCCTACTGAGACCAGTGAAGAAGGTGAGAAATGCTTGTCTGCTTCAGTCTGCGGAACAACTCTGATTCTGCATTCCTTTTGGGATTGGGTGCTGAGATGTAATGAGAGAAACTGTCCTGTAAGGAACTATGACCCTGTTCTACATTTGCCGAGACACTAGGTCATTCAGGTGGTATGGTTTGTGGTGTGTGAGGGTTGGGGGTGGCTGTGTGCATCTGTGTGGTTAACTGTCAGTGTGTGTGTATGTGTGTGTGTTTCCTCAGGAGGTATTTCCCACTTATATAAGAAAAAACTGTCTACAAACAAGCAAATCTCATCACCACCACACATACAGTACATGTAAATGTATTGCATACAATACGATATTCACCCCTCAACACAGCCATACTTGGAGGTTTCCTTAAAACTCCCTTTCCTCGGGCGCCTGGGTGGCTCAGTTGGTTAAGCGACTGCCTTCGGCTCAGGTCATGATCCCGGAGTCCCTGGATCGAGTCCCGCATCGGGCTCCCTGCTC